ATAATTTCATAAAATCTAAAATATTTGGTGTTAGCTATATCAAATTTTAATTTCAGTCCAACTGCAACAACTTTTCTATTTAGTCTTATTGTTGCAATGAAGTATTTACAATATGGAACAAAATGCAAATATACTGTTGAAAAAAGTAACAGTGAAACCATTGCATTAATTATTGGCAAAGTTTTAGCTAATTAGTGCCAAAAATGTGGTCCAGAAAACACTCTCATTTCATTTTTATCCTTTTATCTTTTAGCACCAAAATGGCAATGAAATCTCAAGTAGTAGTGAATGACTGCATAATGTAACATCAACAAATTTATGTCTGTTCTTTGTTTGCTAAATGCCAATTAAAACATGAATTGCTATTGGCACAGTCAAAGATTCATCTGTGTTTAAATGTTAATCAGGACTGTAGTGGAATCTGAAGACTGCATGTTCCACTACAAGATAAAATTCATGGATGGCCTAGGCAGAAAAGATATATTATTGTTTTATAAGGTCGGAAAATTCTCAGTACTGCTTGGAAAATGTAGCTGGAATGTCCAAACAACAGAATGTGCCTTCAATTTTATCCTCCAATAAAATATTCTGGGTTTCCTCATAATTACTTCTAATTAAACAGTAACAGATTTAATTTCACTTACACTAACAAAATGTTTTATTAATTTTAGGGCAAATTCTATGAAGTAGGAGTGAGAGGAGATACTCTTTTAGTGCTGATTTGAACTTCTTTGCATTATGATTCAGAATTTTTATAGTGGGGAGAAGATTACCAAATAGCTTAATTCCAATACAGTAAACTTATTTTTTATATTCACTGAGTTCAGCGTTTGGTACATCAAGAGTATATATGTATTTTTTCTTCATTTGCATTTGTCCCGCATTTGCAGGGTCTGCATTTTTTAAATCTCTTGGAGGTTATGATTGATCTGTTTATTGGATATTGGTAGAACTCCTTGCATGAGTGATCAGCCCTATCTGCAAGGTGTCTACCTATACAAACACAGAAAGACACGGACACACATCCATACCTTGAGTGGGACTCGAACCCACGGTCACAGTGGCCAGGCACTCGAGATTCATGCCTCAGACCGTGTGGCCACCGCGCCGGCGAATATTATATATGTATCTTATACTTATATTAAATATCTAACTTTGGAATTTTTCTATGTTGTTCAAGAAGAGCAGGAATTTACTGGGTAGTGTAAGAACATTAAATTTCTTACACATTTAGCACCTACCACTATTCTAATCATTTTTTATTTAAAATACTTTTTTGCTGTCTGCTGAATTTGCCCAGAAAATAATTCCACATTACATGGCTGAATGGAAGTAAGCAAAGTAGACTAATTTTAAAGCCTTTTTTTCCCCCATGAGTGGTGTGACAGTCCTGATAACAAAGCATGCTGAATTTTGTTAAGGCAAAAGGTACTGAGTATACATTTTCCAGTTTACATTACTGTCAATTTGTAGGTCAAAAACTTTGTGTTTTACTCATTAATACAATTTCCGTTGTTAGGAAATATTTCATGAAATTTCTTTTATAACAATTTAATGTGAATTTATTGACTTTAATACATTTGTTCAAGGTAACAATGACATCAATCAAGCAAATCTGGTAACGTTAAATTTCTGATGGGAAATTAAAATATTAGTATCAACCGCGAAAAGTGTGGGTTTAGTTTAGGAGTTAATCGTTGGTGGTGTATCATTGAATATTTAAGTCGTTCTAGAAATGAGTAACCTCAAAATTTCCCTTAACACTTTCCTGACTGTCAGTCACTATTTATGTTACCTTCTTCTTTCTGAGGTATTAGTTCATCATCTGACTTCACATAATCGTCTTCAGTAAAAGCATTTATTAGCTCCACTAAAACACAGTCACCTAACCAATTTTACCGCACGACGCCATTTACAAACATACTGAAACAGCGCGGCCAAAAAGACCACAGTTTAAATAATCTGAATAATCAGAGATGAAAGACGAATGAGAATATTCGATTTGTAGCGACACATTTGACATCCATACCTATTAATGCGCAGAATAAAAATTATCACGTTTCTCGTTGTGTAGTAAAATGCAAATACAACGAAAGGCTAATTTAATTAACAAAAAGACCACATAATTACAAACTTTCAAGACGTAATAATTAAAGATCTTACAGGTCACCGTATCATAAAAATATTTTCTTGTAACACAACCCGACGGTTCTACACGGTTTATAACAGAGTACTTCATGGAACACAACTACTCAGATTATCAAAATACACATTTCCGTATGGTCAATCTTAATATTATATTCCCGCTCCAACCTCCGTCTTCCAAATGGTTCATCACTAAAAGTACGTATGTAGTTATTATATGTTCTGCTCAGCTCTCTAACTCAATAACTTAACCTTCGTTATGTAATAATTCATACCAGTCTTGGGTACAGGATAATGAACATCCGAGTTCAATAGAAGACAGAGAATTTGACTAGTTGGGCGACTATCAGCGTCTTATGTCTCTGCTACTTCGAGTTTGTTTAGATAAAGATCTTGCAACACGCACAACAAAAACAAATAAAATCTCGCCACATGAGTATAAAATGATGACATCACTAGTTCCTGGACAAATACACTCTTACATCATTGTCATTA